TTTGGTTTTCTTCATTCTTCTTTGCTCTGGATGAGGAGAGACCCATCGTTGCATCTAGATGGCTGCTTGCAAGCTTTCAAGATCGCAGTCACTACTCACCAATGCACTTTAACTTTAACCACAGTTTTCTTTACTTCTTATTTGGGAACTTTAATTTTGTTACTCTGGATATTATTTTTCTGATCACACTCATGTCTGATATTTACACTTCATATTTCCTTTTCATTTTTCAAACTGAACAGCTGCATTTTCCACAATGAATATAGCTAACATCTCACAGTCCACTAGGGGAATTCCTTTGAAGTGACTGCAGAAGGCAGTACTGGAATGATACTATATTTGTTGTTGTTAGGTGCCATCGGGTTGGTGCCAACTCATAGTGACCCTGTGTAGAACAGAACTAAACCTGCCCGGTCCTGCACCAGCCTCACAATCCTTGCTATGCTTGAGCCCATCATTGCAGCCACTGTGATAATCCATCTCGTTGAGGATCTTCCCCTTTTTTGCTGACCCTCTACTTTACCACACATGATACCATCTTTCTCCAGGGAATAGCCTCTTCTGACTATATAATCAAAGGAGGTGAGATGAAGTCTGGCCACTCTCAAGTCCAAGAAACATCCCGGCTACACTTCTTCCAGGACAGATTTCTTCATTTTTCTGGTAGTCCGTGGTATTTTCAGTATTCTTTGCCAGCACCACAACTCAAAAGCATCAACTCTTCTTCAGTCTTCCTTATTCATTGTCAGCTTTCACATGCATATGAAGCTATTGAAAATACCATGGCTTGGGTTAGGTGCACCTTAGTCTTCAAAGTGACATCTTTGATTCTTGACACTTTAAAAAGGTCTTTTGCAGCAGATTTGCCCAGTGCAATATGACATCTGATTTCTTGACTGCTCCTTCTGTAGGTGTTCATTGTGGATCCAAGTGAAATGAAATCTCTGACAACTTCAGTCTTGTCTCCATTTATTGTGATACTGCTTATTGGTCCAGTAGTGAGGATTTTTGTTTTCTTTATGTAGAGGTGTAATCGTACTGCAGACTGTAGTCTTTGATCTTCAATAAGTGCTTCAAGTAATCTTCACTTTCAGCAAGCAAGTTAGTATCATCTGCATATCACAGGTTGTTAATGTATCATCCTCAAATCCTGATGCTTCATTGTTTTTCATATAGTCCAGCTGTTAAGATTATTTCCTCAGCATATAGATTGAATAAGTATGGTGAAAGGATACAACCCACACACATGCCCTTCCTGATTTTAAACCATGCAGTATCCCCTTGTTCTGTTTGAATGACAGCCTCTTGGTCTATGTACAGATTCCTCATGAGCACAATTAAGTGTTCTGGAATTCCCATTCTTGGCAATGTTATCCACAATTTGTTAGATCCACACAGTCAAATGCTTTCTTATAGTCAGTAAAGCACAGGTAGACATCTTTCTGGTATTCTTTGCTTTGAGCCAAGATCCATCTGACATCAGCAGTGATATCCCTCATTCCACATCCTCTTCTGAATCCAGCTTGCACTTCTGGTAGTTCTTTGTCAATTTACTGCTTCCACTGTTTTTGAATTATCTTCAGGAAAATTTTACTGGTGTGTAATATTAATATTATTCTTCAATAATTTCCACATTCTGTTAGATCACCTTTCTTTGGAATGGGTACAAATTTCCATCTGTTCCAGTCAGTTGGCCAGGTAATTGTCTTCCAGATTTTTTGGCGTAAATGAGTAAGCACCTCCAGCGGTGCATCCATTTGTTGAAACATCTCAATGGATATTCTCTCAATTCCTGGAACCTTGTTTTTCACCTATTCCTTCAGTACCATTGATTGTTGATCATATCCTGCCTCCTGAGGTAGTTGAATATAGACCAATTCCGTTTCGTACAGTCACTCTCTATTCCTTCCATGTTCTTTTGATGCTTCCAACTGTTATTCAATATCTTCCCCATAGAATCCTTGAATATTGCAACTCTAGGCTTGAGTTATTACATTACCAGAGGGTAATTCCACTACCATAATGACCTGAGAGTCCCATTGGCTTTCTTTTACCATCTTAAAATTGTTTCTAGGGCTTTGGAGAAACGGTTGAGAGTAAAATCCTCAGTTGTTATTATTGCTGGGTGCTTATGAGTCTATTCCAATTCATAGCCACCCCAACTGCCAAGCTTTTGGTTAGTAGCCAAGTGCCTAACTGTTGCACCACCTGGACTCCTTAAAATCCTCGGTATTTGTTAGCAAAGTAAGATTTTGTAACTGCTTTAAATTCACAGTGCATCAAACCATGTGTCATTTCCTAATTTTCCTTTTTTTGACAGACACCAGTGAAGAAAGGAAAAGAAGCAAATACTGGGTTTGGTGGACCAGTTGTTAGTTCATTGTACCATGAAGAAATCATCAGGTAATTGCTTTTCTGATTGTTGGTAATTTGCTTTTGTTAGTTGCCATCAAGTTGGCCTTCAACTCATGATATACATACGTATGTGTGTGTGTGTGTGTGTATTTTTTTTTCATGTTGAAACATTCAATTTGTGAAGCATTTTTTTTTTTCTTTTTAACATGAAACTGACTTAGCAGTATCTCTAGTAGGATAATAAATGGCAGGAAAGAATTTTTTAGGTGCATAATCTTTAAAATTAGTAAGTATTTGAACCACTGCCACATAGTAATCTTCCCCCACATAAGTAGTTGGCAGAGTAGGATTTTGTGTCTCAAACAATCTATAGTAATAGATTTTTGTTATCTGTTTTATTCAAAATGCTATTTTTTTCTCTTTTAAAGACTTCAATTTTCATTGTTTACTCTAGCTGCAAATGAAGTAATTTTGTGTTGTTTAACAAGCTCTTAAATTTTGTGTGCTATGTATGTAATTTCTTGGATAATCTTTTTCTTTCAGCACTGCTTGTAAGTCGGAGAATGGATCTTGTGCTGCTTCAATGAGTTATATGACACATTTTCCTAAGCTTGTGATTTTACAGAAAAAAAACAAGAAAAAGGAATCTCTGATTCTTTTTGAGATACCTGAACTTTGATTACTTACTTATTAACATGAAATAAATGTGCTCTAATTTGCAGGTGGAAAACTGGGTTCACCTAAATTTATTGAAGGGAAATATCTGTCTTCGTAGAATTAAAAGGAAATCATACCAAAAATGTGTGCTTTACTTTTATAGAAAAGAGTTTGCTGACTGTGGTAGTTAAGGTTTTGTGTCAACTTGGCTAGGCCTGGTTTTGAGTGGCTGGACAGCTGGCTGTAGTTATTCCCCATGGTGACATTGGTAATCAGCTCTATGGTGGAGTCTACTGGAGTAGCTGAGTAGCTGCCTTAGGGATATGGCCTGCTTCTAGTATATAAGGAGAAGTTTTGAGAAAGGTCTCTGTAGCTTTTTGGCATGCTTGGACTCTGCATGTAGCTGAGTCTTCATTCAGCAGATTGCCATGCCCTGCTAATCTTGGGACTTGAACTAATGGTCTGCCATGTTGTTTGATAATCTTGGGACTTTGCCTTTTTGCTTGTTGACCTCAGGTTTAGCAGCCTCAGCAGCCAGTAGCTGCCTGAGTTCAGAGAAGCCTCCAGCTTCAGTGAGCCAGGAATGAGAAGCAGAGCTAAAGCCCAAGGTCAAAAGTCTTTTACCTAGCCTTTAGGGCTGGCACTTTGAACTCAGACTTTTAGTCTGAACTGTAAGAGAATAAACCCCTGTTTGTTCAAACCACCCACTTGTGGTATTTTCTATTAGAGTGACACTAGAGAACCAAAACATTGACATTTTTCCACAATATAAAGTAGTGATGTGAACTCCCAGGTAGCATCTTAAGAGGACCATTATTGCTACCCTATGAATAAAAAACTTTAAATGTGCCTAGTTTCACAGTCATAGCTCATAGCCATAGATAATAACCAGTCAGTTAATACTAGGGAATCTACCTTAAATCTGTTTGCATAGTGAGCACACATTTTTACTTAGATTAAATATTTATTTGGGATGGATGAGGAAAGGCTGGTGGAGATTTGGGAGGAGTGAAGATATCCATTAAGACTGCTCTGGCCTGGAGTATACATGCCACTCTCATCCCTTTGGTGGACCTTGAGACCTCTGAGAAGCCAATACAATGGTTTTGAGGAAGCACAATTTGAAAAACATTTTCAGAGTTGAACCCTCTTTCCCTCAACCCTTATGTATTGAGAAAGTGTTCTGAGGTTCTTAGTTTTCATATTTGGTACTCAGAGTCTTTTAAAAAATGGCATCTTGGAACCTTAACCCTACTTGTTGTTGTTGTTATGTGCCGTCGAGTCGGACCCTACTCATAGCGACCCCTCCTTGGGTTTCTGAGGCAGTATCACTACAGAAGTAGATTGCCCCATCTTCCTTCCGAGGAGTGGCTGGTGGGTGAACCGCCAGCCTTCTGGTTAGCAGTCTAGTGCCTTAGCCACTATGCTACCAGAGCTTCCTTAACCCTACTAGTCAAAGGTTATTAAATAGATTAAATCAGGAAACTTTACAGTTACTTTTCTAGGTAATAGGAGGGCAGGTTAGTCATTCTGCCTCTGTCCCATAGTCCTCTGTCCACACTTTTGTGATAACATTTATCACATTTTACCACACTGAATTATATTTTTTTTAGAAACCTTGTCTTCTCCATTATACTTTTAGTTTTCCAAGGGCAAGTATCCTATTTTATCCATCTCTTTATTCTCAGTATCTGAAGAAGTGTCCGGAACTTAGGAGGTATCTATGGCTGCCAAGTGGTCCTGTCATAAGATTAGAGAGAGGATGGTTTGGTTTTCCTGTGAGTTTCCTATCCTCATCTCTTTTCCTAAGCAATTAAAAATATTTACTGACTATTTTCCTTTCCTAATTTTCCGTAGTGATACTGCCTCGGAAACCCAAACCCAAGGAGGGGTCGCTATGAATCGGGGCCGACTCGACGGCACATAACAACAACAACAACAATTAAATAAATAAATTACAAGTTTCTTG